AAATTCCAAATTTCCCAAATTCCAAATTTCCCAAATTCCAAATTTCCCAAATTCCAAATTTCTCAAATTCCAAATTTCCCAAATTCCAAATTTCCTAAATTCCAAATTTCCCAAATTCCAAATTTCCTAAATTCCAAATTTCCCAAATTCCAAATTTCCTAAATTCCAAATTTCCCAAATTCCAAATTTCCTAAATTCCAAATTTCCCAAATTCCAAATTTCCTAAATTCCAAATTTCCCAAATTCCAAATTTCCTAAATTCCAAATTTCCCAAATTCCAAATTTCCTAAATTCCAAATTTCCCAAATTCCAAATTTCCTAAATTCCAAATTTCCCAAATTCCAAATTTCCTAAATTCCAAATTTCCCAAATTCCAAATTTCCCAAATTCCAAATTTCCCAAATTCCAAATTTCCCAAATTCCATATTTCCCAAATTCCAAATTTCCCAGATTCTAATTTCGCCAAATTCCAATTTCCCAAATTCCATATTCCCTAAATTCCAAATTCCCTAAATTCTAAATTTCTCAAGTACCAAATTCTCCAGATTCTGAATTCCCCAGATTCCAAATTCTCTAAATTCCCGAAATTCTCCAAACTTCAAGTTTCCCAGATTCCAAAATCCCCAAATCCCATCTCCCCAAGTCCCAAATTCCCTAGATTCTTAATTTCTCAATTTCCAAATTCCCTAGATTCTAAATTCCACACATACCAAATTCCAATTGTCTAGGTTCCAAATTTCCCAAATTGCAATTACCTATTTCGCAAATTCCCCAGATTTCAAATTACAATTACCTACTTTCCAAATTTCCCAGATTTCAAATTCCAATTATGTACTTTCAAATTCCCTAGATTTCAAATTGCAGATTCCCCATATTTCAAATTCCCCAAAATGCAATGACCTACTTTGCAAATTCTCCAGATTTCAAATTGCAATTATCTACTTTGAAAATTCCCCATATTTCAAATTCCCCAAAATGCAATGACCTACTTTGCAAATTCCCCAGATTTCAAATTGCAATTATCTACTTTGCAAATTCCCCAGATTTCAAATTCCAATTATCTACTTTGCAAATTCCCCAGATTTCAAATGCCATTTCTCCCAAATTCCCCAAAATTAAAAAATTCGAAAATTGCAATCTTCCAATCTTCTCCATCCCTCAAACAAAAATATGTTCCATCACAAAAAATCGTAAAATTCGATATTAGAAATTTCCCTAGGAATAGGAAGACCGAAAGAGGGGCGTGTATTGTACCGAAGTGTGCCAGTTCGATCGTAACGCGAACGAATAGCACAGATCGAGGAGTCGGCGGTTCTCGCGTCCGTCGAACCGTGGATACCGGTGACATCGTTAAATATACGAGGTGTCGGTGAGAGGCTCGCACGCATCCATTGGCCACACTTCCGTGTTACTGTAAATCCAAAGTCGTCCGTTTAATTATTTTCAACCGGGATGAATGGCAGCGCGCGGGGGATCATTTTCCAAGCTATCGATCATTCGATGGTATCGCGCACAGCCCCCGGAGGCGGCGAATAAAGAAACCTAGGCGCTAGCACGAGCGTGCAACATACCGAGAGAGGAGACGCACGCCTCGCGAGACTCGCCGATTAATCGATCGGCCGTCATCAAAGGTCATTCGTTAATTGCGCTTAGCTAACGTACACGCGTTTCCGTTCCGAACATCGACGTACCTCATTATCCTTAATTTATCGAACGTTTGCACGGAGGCGCTTATTGAAAATTAACGCGATCGACCGAAAGAATCCACGAGGATTATATGGAGATCGATCGAATGCATTACATCGAGATCTTCGAGATCGATGAACATACTCTCTACTCCTTAATCGAAATGCTGGCTTTAATTGGGTCATCTATTCCTGCCGATGTATGACTGCGAATTTGTCTCCATCTGTGACTTACATTTTTATACTTTTTCTCGTATTCGTGCTTTTATTATCCTTACACTTTTACGTCTTACTTTATATTTTTAGTATTTTTTTTATTATTTCACGGCAGTTTATTTTACCACTGCATTCTAGTATAGTTATATGTGTTTATTGGTGTATTCTATTCTCTTTGCATTTCCACCACATTCAATTATATACCCGTCAGTACAAAATTATACATACACAAACATCTCAAGTGATACAATCAATAAAACACATAATAGATATAAACATTGTCAAAATTAAAAAATTTCAAAAATAAATGAACATCAAAAAAATTGTTTCCAATGAATATGAAAAAAAATGGTTAAATATAAAAATTGTTATGGGACTTCAAATTAGCGTCACACATATGTGCGTACAATGCACGATTATTCATTGACGTTCGAACGGTAGGAAACATGTAATTCGTTCATCCATGGTTCTGGCAGCTTACTGAATCACTCACGGAATATTTATTGCGAGAGAGAAGAACCGTTCGCGGTTGGATCCTTCCGGTTTCCAGTTACGCGATCTCAACCGGATAGCCCGACACCTTCTGACGAGGGAAATTTGATTCGCGTTCCTTTTTTTTCTCAATAACTATGGTTTTGTTGCAGCCCCGCCGGAGACGCCTGGAGCAGATTAGCCACCTTGGTGAACCTGTTGGAAAAATTGAATTACACCAGGACGATACTGATTCAGGCCAAGGATGCGGAGGGTCGAGAAGATGGTGAGTTTTAATACTTTTAATTTTATTATATTATTTATCTTTCTTTTACCTTTAGTAATTGTGTTTCGAAATTAATAGCCTTGCCAAAATTTCACATTTTCCATATTCCTCATTACCGAATTCTACATTTCTGAAATTCTATATTCCCGAAATTCCACCTTCCCGAATTCCATCTTCCCGAAATTTCACATTCCCGAATTCCACATTTCCGAATTCCACCTTCTCGAAATTCCATCTTCCCGAAATTCCACATTCCCGAATTCCATCTTCCCGAAATTCCACATTCCCGAATTCCACTTTCCCGAATTCCATTTTCCCGAAATTCCACATTCCCGAAATTCCACATTGCCGAATCCCACTTTACCGAATTCCATCTTCCCGGAATTCCATATTCCCGAATCTCATATTCTCGAATCCCACATTTCCGAATCCCTCATTCGCGAATTTCACATTCCCGAATTCCACATTTCCGAATTTCACCTTCCCGAAATTCCACATTTCCGAATTCCATCTTCCCGTAATTCCACCTTCCCGAAATTCCACATTCCCGAATCCCACATTTCCGAATTCCATCTTCCCGTAATTCCACCTTCCCGAAATTCCATCTTCCCGAAATCCCACATTCCCGAATTCCACCTTCCCGAAATTTCACATTCCCGAATTCCATATTCTCGAATCCCACATTTCCGAATCTCTCATTCGCGAATTTCATATTCCCAAAATTCCGCATTCCACATAAACTTGAAAAATTTGAAAAATTGAGAAATCTGTGAAATTTGGAAAATTGAGAAATCTGTGATATTTGAAAAATTGAGAAATCTGTGAAATTTGAAAAATTGAGAAAATTGCGAAAACAAATGAAAGATTTGAAAAATGTAAAAATTTTTTAACTTGAAACCCCAAAAATATGAAAATACGTCCCTTGTTAAAGGAGCCCAAGTTTTCAGCCAAGAGTACTAATTGCAATTGAAAAACTATAATCGTAGAATTACAGGTTATAAGATTTCAAGCCGGAAACATGTTCTTGCTGTTCAGACAGCCGCGATCACCACGATCGATCATCATTAGTACACATATTCAGTCAGCTACGAGCGACAGCATGCGAAGTCCTTTTATGCGATCACAATGAGATCCATCGATGAATGAGTCGATTAGTAATTCAAACACTGTTCGCTATCTATCTAATCCATTGGACGTCTTTGAAACGTCATTCCTTAGAAATAGTCTCTTAAGTCGAGACTTAAAGTAGAATTACTACATTGTTGCATATCGGATGACAGAAACGTACTTCGACGGTATAGTATCGCTAAATTGTACTTGTGGCAGATCGATTTGTTAAGTTAAGTTTAGTGAAATGTACTTGTGTTTAGTATTTCACTTCATTCTTTAATATAATAATATTTGATAATATTTTCTTATAATAATTTTGCAATGATGTTTTTGTTTATTTTATTTCTTCAAGGATTTGGGGATCGAAGATATACCTGCAAGTTTGTTGGTACGGTTGTTAAAATAAGGAGAAATCACTATAATTTGGTGATAATTCACATGCATCAGGGTACATTTGAATAAAACTGATAGCCTCATCATCCCTGAAATTTCACATTCCCGAATTCCACCTTCCCGAAATTCCACAATTCCGAATCCCACCTTCCCGAAATTCCACAATTCCGAATCCCACCTTCCCGAAATTCCACATTTCCGAATCCCACCTTCCCGAAATTCCACATTCCCGAATTCCACCTTCCCGAAATTCCACAATTCCGAATCCCACCTTCCCGGAATTCCATATTCCCGAATTCCACCTTCCCGAAATTCCACTTTCCCGAATTCCACCTTCCCGAAATTCCACATTCGCGAATCCCACCTTCCCGAAATTCCACATTCCAGAACCTCATCTTCCCGAAATTCCACATTCCCGAATTCCACCTTCCCGAAATTCCACCTTCCCGAAATTCCACATTTCCGAATCCTACATTCCCGAATTCCACATTCTCGAATTCCACCTTCCCGAAATTCCACATTCCCAAATCCCACATTCCCGAATTCCACCTTCTCGAAATTCCACATTCTACATCTGCAGCCACATACAGAGTCAGTTAACCTCATCATCCTTTATCAAAGCATGTGTTCACATTGACAGAGTCTACCAGCCAGTCTAACTCATGTTAGAGTACTAGAGTAAGTGTATTGTTTAGTGTGCTGCAGTAGGTGTATTATTCTAAGGAAGGTATTAGGACTGTTACAATTTTATTCCATCATAAACATCCTAATAATTAAATACATTCAAACCAGCCTGATCCTTAACCTCATTTTCCCTACGCATCTGTAACCACATACAGAGTCAGTTAACTTCATCATCCTCTAGCAACACGTTTGTCAACATCTTCATAGTTTATCAGTCAGTGTAACTCATGTTAGAGTACTAGAGTAAGTGTATCGTTCAGTGTGCTGCAGTAGGTGTTTTATTCTAAGGAAAGTACTATCACAGTTACAATTTTGTACCACCACAAACGACTTAATAATCGAAAACATTCAAACCATTCTGGTTTGAAAATCGAAAACATTCTGATAGTTAACCTTCATCATCCCTACACATCTGCAGTCACATACAGAGCCACATTTTTCTGATGATTTTTTAAAATGATTTTAATACTATTGCAGTTAGTTACTTCTGACGCACCTGACAAACCAATCATACGTCAGGGGGTTAAACCATTAGTAAGGTAATTGAAAGCAGTGTCGCGACGATTCCCTACGATAATTCGAATTCCCTTGGCACTCGAAGGCTGGACCAGTCGTTTAATCGAAAAACTGAAGTTCCTCGAACGGCTACGAGGCCTCTGGCCGTCTGTTGACCCGTGGATAGCCGCCGGTTACGTAACGGTGAATCCGTTCGATGTGACCACTGCAGTGCCATATACACTCTCCTCTGGCCGTTTACAAGTTGCCAGCCAATGGTGTTTCGCCATATACCATGGGGGCCACGCCGTCCTGCTACCGTGTGCCTCTGGGACCTCCATCTTCTTTTTTTTTAAAACCATCTTTCTGTTTCTCTGACTGCGTGCATCTTATGAATACACAAAACACAATGTTCACTTTTAGAGGACCGGTAGCTTTTTATACGAGGTTGTATCTTTTTTATCGGATCGTTTATGCGCACGTTAATGAGGACCCCCTACGAGTACTGAAATGCCGGCTTTGATTGCGGCGACGAGATAGGGAATCGGGCGGATTTGTGGATATTGTTGGGTTTTGGAGGTTGGGCGGAATTTTTTGGGATGGTGAGATGGTGAGGGAGTTGGGGTTGGGTGGTTAAATTTCGAGGTTTACATATTCCGCAATTCCTACATTTTCCAATTCCAACATTCTCCAATTTCTACATTCCCCAGTTCCACATTCACCAATTTCCACATTTACCAATTTCCACATTTACCAATTTCCACATTTCCTAATTCCACATTTACCAATTCCACATTCACCAATTTCCACATTTACCAATTCCACATTCACTAATTTCACACTTGCCAATTTCCACATTCCCCAATTCCACATTTACCAATTCCCACATTCCCCAATTCCACATTCCTCAATTCCCACATTCCCCAATTCCCACATTCCCCAATTCCAACATTCCCCAATTCCCACATTCCCCAATTCCAACATTCTCCAATTCCCACATTCCCCCATTTCTACGTCCCCAAATTCTCATATTCTCCAATTCCACAATCCCCAATTCCTACATTCCCCAATTCCCACATTCCCCAATTCCCACATCGCCTAATTCTCAAATCCCCCAATTTCCAAGCTCCCAAATTTTTCGCACCCCAGATTCTCTAATCCTCAAATTTTCAAGCTCTCAAATCCCCAAATTTCCAAATTCTCACATTCCCCAATTCCCACATTCCCCAATTCCTACATTCCCCAATTCCCACATTCCCCAATTCCCACATTCCCCAATTCCCACATTCCCCAATTCCCACATTCCCCAATTCCCACATTCCCCAATTCCCACATTCCCCAATTCCAACATTCCCCAATTCCCACATTCCCCAATTCCTACATTCCCCAATTCCTACATTCCCCAATTCCTACATTCCCCAATTCCTACATTCCCCAATTCCTACATTCCCCAATTCCTACATTCCCCAATTCCTACATTCCCCAATTCCTACATTCCCCAATTCCTACATTCCCCAATTCCTACATTCCCCAATTCCTACATTCCCCAATTCCTACATTCCCCAATTCCTACATTCCCCAATTCCTACATTCCCCAATTCCTACATTCCCCAATTCCTACATTCCCCAATTCCTACATTCCCCAATTCCTACATTCCCCAATTCCTACATTCCCCAATTCCTACATTCCCCAATTCCTACATTCCCCGATTCCTACATTCCCCGATTCCCGTATTCCCAAATTTCTACATTCTGAAATTCTCAAATGTCCAAAATCTCACGTCCAAAATTTCTAAAATCCCAACCCGTCCAAAATTGCCTAATAAATACATAAAATAGCCAACTCAATATCTGCCAAATCACGATTCCTAATTACGAAACGCCTTCACGTTTCAATCAGAATTAATCACCGTATAATTACTACAGTTAATAACGCGATATAAACATTATCCCCGTACTAAATATACCGAATTGATATACCGAATTGACCAGCTTCGAACACGCAAGATTCAACGGTTTATATCCTTCTTAGAATATCGAGTAAAAAATTTCTAACTGTAAAAGCATTACACCCACGCGTTCGATCGGTTCTAGGGACAAAAAATAGTGAAACAAGAGAAGAATAAGCAGGCATTGAACGGTGTTAGATAATCGTATTCGACCGTTAGCTAATAGAAAAACAGTTTGACGAAAGACAAAACGCCGGCCATGGCTTCTGGTACAAAACACCTTTTACTTTTTTCTTCCTTTTTTCTCTTGCGGACAAAACGAGAACGTGACTTAATGAATTAACAACGGCACAAGAGCCGTCGATAACT